TTGACTGATTTTAAAATGTACTATAACTGCAGCCTTAATTATTTATTTCAGTTTTGGGGTAGTATAATTTTAGCTGGTTGCCATGAACTTTCTTTTTTAAGACCTTATCGTCAAGGGCCCGAAGTTTATAAACTCCATGAGAAAAGACGTCATGAATGTAGAAAGAACCTTCCCATTTTTCTTCAAGTTTTCCTTTATGGGTTCCTTCTAATAAGGAGTGATATACAAGAACTTAGTCGCTAATAGAATAACTCTTGATGGTGAACTTCTGGTCATATTAATCCTTTTGGCATTGTTGGGACTTCTTAGTGCGTTCTCGGGCTTCTCAGGCTCTAGGGATTTCCCCTAATAAAACTTTGATACGACGTAAAAAGTTTTCTTGAAGTTTCGACTCGTCAGGAAAGGGTATTGCGGGGTTTAAAGCTTGGACTTCAGAAGGTAAAATGGCATCTCGACCGTACATGAGGAAAAAGGGCTTGTATTGGGTAGTAGAGTGTTTTGTAGTTCAGTAGGCTAGAAGAGCGGGGGAGATATACTCGTCCCAGTCTCCTTGAAACTGAATGATACATTTTGACAAGACTTCGCAAAGAGTTCAGTTAAATCATTTCACAAGGCTATTGGTCTGCGGATGATAAGTAGTGGAATATCGGTGGTTAACTTGTAGTTGTTGACAGATAGCAGTGATTAGTTCGTTGATAAAGTGTTTCCTCTGATCGGAAAGGAGCTCTCGTGGACTACCATGGCGACATATAATATACTCAATAAAGAATGAAGTGACTGAAGAGGCAGTAGAATCAGAGATAGCACGGGCCTCGGGCCACTTCGTAAGATATTTAGTGGCTACAACAATATAATGGTTGCCACGCTTAGTTAGAAGCAAAGGTCTAACTAGGTCGATTCCTACTCGATCAAAAGGTTGTCTGATTTTTGATTGGATAGAGAGGTTCACGAGTTCGGGGTCACTCTCTTCGTTGGCAAGTGTCACAAGTTCGAACATAGTTTTTGACATCCTCACCTATTTGCGGTCAGAAATATCGGAGGGCAATTCGTTGAAGAATAGATAATTGATTAAAGTGCCCGGACATTGGATCAGAATACATACTAAAAAGGATAGTGGGAGTTTCATTTGGTAATAGAACTCGTAAAAGACGATGGGGTTGTCGATGATATTTTTTATAAAGAATATTATTTACTATGGTGAAATGTCTGGTTTGTTGTTTTAAACGTTATAAGTCTAGGGAGTTAAGTTCAGCAGGAAGAGATAGGTCGCTAAGATAGCGAATGAAAAGTTGATATTGGGTTGGGTCCATGTTGGAGATTGACAAGGTTATTATTTTAAAGATGAGGTAACAATATAGAGGTAAGTAGTAGATAAGTTTATAGTATACGAATGAGATAAGAATGGCTAGTCAGAATAAGAGTTGGTTAGAGATAGGTTTAGGCAATGTAGAAATTCGAGAAAGGCTATCAGCATTCGAGTGGTGTTTTCCGATGTGGTGAATTATAGTAAAAGAATATTCTTGTAATTCTAGTATCCAGTGGGTAAGATGGCTTTGGGGAAGTTTATAGCGTAGCAAGGATTTAAGGGCGGAATGATTAGTAATTAGGGTAAAATGAGTGCTATGAAGATATTGGCAAAAATAAGAGATAGACCAAACTACGGCTAGACATTCCTTTTCGGTGACGGAATAATTCTTTTCAGGTATGGTCATGCTTCGACTAGCATAGGAAATAACTCTTTCTCTTTTCTGGTCATCTTTCTGAGAAAGTATTGCACCAATCGCAAGATCGGAAGCATCTGTGAAAAGTAGAAATTCTTTAGAAAAGTCAGAGTAAGCTAAGATGGGAGCGGTGATAAGTTTTTCCTTTAAAAGATTAAAAGCATTATTTTGTTTTTCATTCCATAAATATTTGTTATCTTTTTTTAAAAGTAGGTTAAGAGGGGTAGCGATTTTGGAAAATTCTTGAATGAATCTATGATAGTATGAGGCCAGGCTAAGAAATCCACGGAGCTTACAGAGGTTCTTAGGGATAGGAAATTTTTGTATGGCTTCGACCTTTTTCGAATCTGTAGAGATTCCTTTGGTACTAACGATGTACCCAAGAAATTTAAGTTCCTTCTTGGCGAAATGATACTTTCGAGAGTTGAGGTGAAGTCCGGCTTCTCGAAGACGACGAAAGACCTCGTTTAGATGTTGAAGATAGTTATCGAAGATTGCAGAAAAAATGTTAATATCGTTGAGATATACAATAACGAACTAGTCTTTGATCCCTTGGAATATATTATCAATAAGTCGTTGAAAGGTAGCAGGGGCGTTAGTAAGGCCGAAAGGCATGACATTAAATTCGAAGGTGCTAAATTGAGATATGAAAGCAGTCTTTTCACAGTCAGTAGGATCCATCTCGATCTGCTAGTACCCACTAGCGAGATCGAGGGAAGTATACTAGGATGAGTGTTTAAGAGTATCTAGGAGATCATTAATTCGGGATAAAGAATAATTATCCTTTTTTGTAACAGCATTAAGACGATGATAATCTACGCAAAATCGAGTTTTATCTTCCTATTTTACTAATACAATAGGTGATGTCTAGGGGCCGTTAGAGGGTTGAATAATATTTTCAGAGAGCATTCAGTTGATTTCTTCTTCGAGGAATAGCTTATCTTTGGGGGTAGTTCGATACGCTCTCTGTTTTATTAGGACGGCATCTCCGGTATATATTTTGTGAGTAACTCGACTAGTTCGTCCTAAGTTGTGGGAGGTCCAAGCAAATAAGTCATCGTTTTCTGAGAGGAAATTATTGATTTGAGCACGGCAGTTTTCATTCAACTCTCCAATGTCTAACTCGTATAGGGTTCTTCGTGATCGTTAAGATAAAAATCATAAATGTCAGATAAGGTATCGTCGGAGGGGTTGTTGTTATAGAGGAAATCAATTTTAGTTGAAATGTAAAGTTGGGGTTGAGCGTTTAAATCTGTTTCAGAATAACCAAAAATTTGGTCATCTAAGTTTTCTTCCTCAAACTCGCTTTCGGATTCTTCATCAGAGGTAGATTCTTCAGGTTCTTCCTTCATAGTTTTCATAATTCTTGTAGGTCTTTCTCCTTGAAGTGGGGAATTGGTGATTTTTCGAAATTCGATTTGAATTATGATTTCTTCCTCTTTCCAGAAGAAAGTCATTTCGGAAGTGGTATAATCGATTTTGGCATTCACCCTAGAGAGCCAGTTATTTTTAATAATGGCTTAATACGACGAAGCATCAGTAACCACGATATCAATAGGTATCTCTACTCCTCCTACACAAAAAGAGAAATCGGAAATTTTGCCAATAGCTCTATGGCTCTGGCTATGAATGTTAATCATGTTGACTGTGGACGGTCTTTCTACCTTGATGCCTAGCCCCCGCAAGAAGTGAGACGATACAACACTTCCTGAGGAACCACTGTCGACAATCAAAGGTATAACCTTCCCGTGGACCGTTGCATCACAGTACAAGGCGGTCGATTTTGGTATAGGTTGGAGGTTAACAAAGGCTCGCCCTTTTCTATTAGACTTTTTCTTTTGTAGGCCCTTAGCCAGCTCAGTCTTCATAGAGGGTACAGCCGGAAGGAGTTGACCGAAAGTGATGTTTGCTAGTTTGTCTTTTATATCAGCAACGATTGAATATGGGGAGATGAGAGCTGATATTTAAGAGAGATCCTCAATTATTTTCTTTCTACGAATAGTTGGGGTTTTCTTGGTTTCTTTCTTAGGGATAGTCTTTGTTGTGCCTTTTGTCAAGGTAGGGGTTTCAACTGGTTGAGGGGTATTTTCCTGATTAACATCTTCTTCCGCTTCTTGTGACAAGTCTTCTAAAGTTCGACGCCGTTTAATTCTAGTTGTCTTGATAGGGTGCTCTAAGTTTTCGTTATTCATGAATAGCTGATCTTCTTCGTGGAGATTTAAGAAGGTTTGGGTGTCATTTCCTTGTGCAGGTCCGCCAACTAAGTTCAACAACATTTGCACGGCTCCTTGGATTTCTGCGTCGTTAGTGCCAGAGCTCCTTTGATTATTTCTGGTGGCATTGTTCTGACCTAATAGAATGGCATTGCTTCCAGTAGCTATATTTCGATCACCATCTCATCATAACGGATTAGGGCAGTCTTGGGCATAATGACCATTTTGTCTACAACGGGGACAGGTGTACGAGGTGTGTTATTCCAGTTCCAATTCTAGCAGGGAGTTTCTTTGGTTTCTTTAATTTGGGTCATCATGTTAATGATGGCTTCTGTTAATTTCTGAAGAGTCTCTTCCGTTTTATTAGGGTTAGCTTCTAGTTGGGATAGTGTTAAGTATTGGGGAGAATATAGGGAGGTGGTTAAGAGAGGGTTATACTGGAGGGAATTTTGTTTAAAAGCGTTTTCAAATGCTTTGGCTCGTTCATAAGCGGCAGTTAATATATTCAGCATAAACAGAGCGACCGATGCAGCTAGTTCAGGTCTTAAGCCGTTAATGAACATTTGAGCTTTAGCGGTATCAGGGTATTGATGACCTCTCGCTTCAACTCTATGTAAAAGTTCTTCTATAGCGACATGATAGGAGTTTATATCTTCAGTAGGGCCTTGTTTCTTTTGAGTAAGTTGGGCAAACTACTTACTTTCTAAAGTGAGAGTTCAAAAGTGTGCGGTGAAGGTGAGTTTAAAACTCAAGTTTGGGTTTTGGGCGTCATTTCATCGATCAACGGGTTGTAATTGATTTCAGTTATTAAGCCACCAGGTCGCCGCGGAACCCTTCAACTTTGGCATGATTACGGGAATTTTTCGGTTATTTCGAACTTAATTAGCCTCGAAGGCTTTTTCTACGTCTTCGATCCATGTGATAGGATCTTGTTCACCCCCAAAGAAATCGGGATAAGGAACAAGATTGAGCTTTCGGTTTTGTGCTGGTACGTTGATTTGTGGAGCAGGAGCTTGTTGCATTTGAAGTACTAAGTTTCGGATTTGTTGAGCTAGATTATCCATGAGATTTGGTTGATTTGGGTTGTTAGGAGGGTTGTTGTTGTTGTTGTTATTTTTTTGAGCTATATTGTTACTAATTTCAACAATGTGTGCTTGGTCGTCATTGGAAGTTTCACTAAAATTATAGGTATCTTTAAAAAGATCTTTAATGAATCGATTGGTCTCTTGGTAGATAGTTAAAAACTTGTTTAGAAGTGTTGGATAGTTATCAGGCTGTTCGAAATAACAAAAACTAAAGAAAAATCACC